TGAGCCCCTAACTAAAAGACAGGAGAAGTGGCCTTCTGGTCTCTTGTGTGTTTATATGTGCCAAGTGCACACCTGTCGTCTTCGCATTAGTTATAGCTGCCTGGTGACTTTGATATAAGGGTTCATTTAAAAAATATCTTTCATTCTTATCACCAGCAATATTTTAGGATGATAACTTGACAATCAAGGGTGCAGTCTGTGTATATACCAGAGCCTACTTAGTCGGATTTGACTGGCTTTCGAGCAAGGGAAACCTTTACCTTTACTTTACTTATCTTTTGCATCTGTATATTTTATAGTCCTCTACAAGATGCTCCAGTTTGAACCTCTTATGCTGGTTCCCTATGTGTCTTTCCTGACAGAACCCCAAAGCTCAGGAAGTAAGAAGCTTTATTACTCCACCAAGATACCCATGCAAGGATAAGAGTAGGCACCTCTGACTCTTTAACTAGAGAAATCATTACAGGAAAGGGAGTAAAGGCTGTTTACTAGCTCCCACACTTTTAAACTTTTGAATAAATGACATTGTCCCCAAACTAAGCAGTCCAGACTTTGTACCACCTAAGTTGGGTCAACAAAAAATATCTCTACTGCTTTATGCAGATGATATGGTTCTATTCTCTTTAACGAGAATTGGTCTAAAGAGAAGCTTTATCGGCCTTGCATTGTGTGTGCATACAAAGTAGCTGCAAAAGCTACATTTTTTAATGGTGCGGCTATAAACGTTCAATATGGGCCACTGCTCTTTAATTTTTTTCTGTGAGAAGTACATTGCCTTAACTTCTAGAACCAAGAAAGGCCTGTCTATCTTGTTGACTCACAGTTCTGGTCTGTCCTTTACATCAGGCCATTTGTGCTTTGGCTCTACTTTCAAAATATTTGTCCTACTCTTGAAATAAACTAATAAGAGTATGAAGAGTGTCTTAACTGATGGCTCTTCTGTCTTCGGAATAACTACACGAATAGCCATGTTTTGTATTCTGTTTCTTATGGCTCTTGCTTGGTTTTTCTTTTAACAGTTATAAGTGTATTCATCAAAGCTTGGAGGACAACAATAGATGTCCAAAATGTAATTACGTTGTGGATAACATCGACCACCTTTACCCCAACTTCCTAGGTAAGTTTTGAGGTTTATGGGTAATATAGCCTCGAAAACAAAAAAATAGATTTCCTCTTGATTTTCGACAAGCAGAACTAATGCCACCTGAATGTCTGGCTCCTTATTTTGTAGGTAGGTTGTGCTTTGAAGGCTTTTTCCAGTTTAACTGTTCTAGGGAGAGCAGTCGAGTTGGGGAACTGAGGAAGAGTTATACAACAGCGTTGAGTATCTTTAGGTATTATGGAAGGCAAATGAAATGTTGCTGAAGTAAGAAGGCTGTTCTTAGTTTAGTGATAAAGGTGGGGCAATTGTGTTGATAAAGAAAAGCACCTGGCATGAAAATTAGCATCTTTGTAGATCTGGAAGTCTTGCAGATGAATCTACAGTTTCTCAAAGGTTGTGATGAAGATTAAATCTGAGGCAGTGAGTGACTTCGTAACGTTACACTCCTGTGTTTTCCATCTACGATTAGTGGGTGAGTCCTGTGGAATGTTGCCATAAATGTTCATCTGCAGTTGGCTGCCTTGTGCCTTGCATCCTTTATCTGGAGTGCCTTGTGTGTCCTTGTCATGACCCCTAGTGGGTTGCCACCTTCCTCTGCCACCACTCTGGACTTAGGGTCCCTTGGGAAGGCCCAGAGTACCCTCCCAAGCCCAACCAATGTGCTCCTTTGAAGCTGAGAAATATAGGCATGATGACCAGGCAGAGAACATTAAACAAATGGTTTATTAACATAGTAATAATAATGGGGCAAGGAAAACAAGACAAGGTGCTTAAAATATGTAACAGTGTCTGAAGGCCAAAATAAACAAATCTAATGTGGCTACCTATTTCTCTTAACTGGTTACTACTCAAGGTCCACAGCCTTTTATACCAGGCCTCTGCCTGTACTCACTCTGTCCCAAGTGAGGGATCTTTCTCTCAGACCAGACTGTCCCCTCAGTTTAACTCTGTGAGAGAAAAGAACGCACTAGAGAAAGAATGCAGTTCCACAGCCCACAAAGCTTAAGCCACAATCCCCTCACACACCGATTGGTTGCAACCGTCGCTAAGCATTGTGGGGATTGTAGGCCGTGTCTGCTTTCCACTTCCACACAGGTCTCCTGGGGCCTAGGCCTGGTGGCCCAAGTCCTACACAGATCATGACAGCCCACTCTCTCCGTCAGCCTGCCACCGGTGATCCCTCTAAGCTGTGCACGTGAGCCGCTCATTAACACAGGAAGCCCCCGTTCAGCAGCAGTCTGGAGCCACGCAGGGTCTTGCACTGCTGATTGCCCATTTTAAGATCACGACAGTTGTATTCTGCTCAGGAATGCAACTGCTCCACTCAGTAGGGGAAAAAGATTAAGAGGGAATGTTGCCTGCCATTTTCCTTCATTAGAATACTTTTTTTACTGGGCTGTGATACCCTTAAGTAGGGTTGCCAAATTTGTTTCACGTACCGGCGGGGGTCCTTCCTGCCGGTCCGGGAGCTCTGCGGGGACGTGCGTGTTTTCCCCTCAAACGGCATGGCCCCGCCCCCAGCGTGCGACGTCACTTCCGGGTGACGCGCACGCGGGGGTGGGGTTTCCCCCGGGCCCCGATTCCGGCGCGCCGGGAATCGGGGCTCCGAAGCGGGGGAATCCCCGCCCCCCGGCTGCATTTGGCAGCCCTACCCTTAAGTGGGCTGCGGTGGCTCAAGTGGTTAAGATGCTGAACTGCAGAACGGAAGGTCGATAGTTCAGCAGTTCGAGACCCAAGTACCGCATGACGGAGTGAGCTCCCGTCTCTGGTCCCAGCTTCTGCCAACCTAGCAGTTCAAAAGCAAGAAATTGCGTAGATAAATAGGTACCACTTCGGTGGGAAGGTAACAGTGTTCTGTGCGCCTCAGCATCTAGTCACATGACCACGGAAATGTCTTTGGACAGCATTTTTCCTGTTATGAACAATGGAATGGCAATTGAAGTAGGTACTATATAGCTGCTTTCCAGTTATCGCACTCTGGCTATGCTGTGGGTCAGGCCCACTTCAGTCTTCCTCTAGCTGTGTGTGGACTTCAGGCAGTTGTGCGGGCAACTGCAATATTTTCAGGCAAGCCAGTAGAACTCTCCAGCTTTTCTGTGTCCTGTTGTCATCTTACTTGCTTCCTGTATTTTGCAAGTCCTGAACTTGAGCTGTGTGGAGCTACTTTAAGTTAATTTCATTCAGAATATATAACCTGAAGTTTGCCTGCAGGTCCCCCTGTGCCCCCCAAAAAGTGGAGAGGAGGAGACTGTGCAAATTTTTATTTTCTTATGAAAACACTTCTATGGTAACTTTCTCAAATGTGCTTGTAGCCATGAATAACTTTGTTTCCTCAGGGACAAACATTTACTGTCTCTATTCCCTAGTTCCCTTGGAAATGGAGATGAGCATTGCCCCCTAGAGTCAGATTCAACTGGCTTTCGAGCAAGGAAAACCTTTAACTTTACTTTACCTTATTCCCTAGTACATGGCAGTGTTAATACTTAAGAGCAAGCATCTTCAGCTGCTGTTTCATTGACTTCTTCTTTTTCTCCTCCTTCCTAGTAATTCTGATGTCATCATTAAGTTACGGTGGCTATGTGACAGCATTCCTGTTAATAAAGCTGATTCCTTGTGGAGTCTCTCTCTAAATTAGCTTTGTTTTGTTTGCCCTTGGTGACATTATCATAAAAATCTGATTGGCTTCATAATGGTGGTACTGTCACCAAGTAGTCTGTTCATAAACCAGAAATGGTGTAGAAAATGCAGCAGATTGGGGCAGCGAATTAGAACAGAAAGGTAACTTTTGTAGGGTTTTCGGGAAATGATTTGAGCTCTTCATGCCCCTTCCTTTTTGTGGCAAAATGTTTTCCTCTGACAACTCAATGCAGCACTTTACACTACACTTATAATGGCTAAATTAATTTATTAGCCTCTAATAAGTAGGCTGCATTGTACAGTCAAGACAATAAAATATGATTAAATATCAAATATGTTTTACATTAAAACCTCTGCCTTGGATCATTTTACTTCATATTTGGGGCTTAAACACTGCATCCTGATTTTTTTCTTTTGTTTCTGACAAATTATTTGTTAACATGCCTGGATCCTTGGGGTGTTGTCTCTCTGAGTAGAAAGGTCATGGGTACTGACTTGTTTGAGGGCGGGTGCCAGATAGTTAGAAGCTTTGAAATGTGATTTCATATGGGGATTGAGGTATTTGGAAAGTCTTGGCTTTACCACAGTGGCTTATACTGCAGACAAATAGCATTGGTGGTCCATGCTGTTGTTGCTTAGTTGCTTTAAATCATCTTATTCTTACGTATAGATGTAAACAGCATACCAGTGCAGTTCAAATTCTGCTTTCTCTTTGTCCAGTTTTAAGTCTTGATTTTTCAGGTCTTTAACTCTGTAATTTTCATGAGATGTGACATTATGATCGTTTTTGTTCAGTATTGCTGTGTGAATAAAAGGTCCATAAATGTGTAGTTAAATCATTTTCCATTTAGTCTTACCTAGCGAATAACCTGGGAAGGCTGGAGACATTCAGTTGCTTGAGCTTCTATTAAGATTGTCTGCAACTAGGCTTACTAGAAACCTGCTCTGCCTTTTTTTAAATAAAGAAACCTTTGCTGATTATTTTTTTTCTCTTCTTTTTTTTAGTAAATGAACTCATTCTTAAACAGAAACAAAGATTTGAGGAAAAGAGATTCAAACTGGACCATTCAGTGAGTAGCACCGTATGTCCAAATCTTTTTACTCTCATTTTAATTGTGGTGAAAGGAAAAAAGTAGTAAATTGTGGATGGGAAGAGGAGGCAGCCAAATACTGTCTCTGTGTTTTTACAAGCAGTTGGTGAAATCTGTCACTTTCATTGGGTAGCCACTCATGTTATCAGCCAGTGAAAGAGCTAGATTTGAGTCTGGCAGGACCTTAGAGACCAGGGAAATTTTCAGGTCAGAGCTTTAACTCTCAAAAGCTTTTACCCTGAGAATCTCTGAGGTCCTGCCAGTTTGGTGTAGTGGTTAAGTGTGCAGTCTCTAATCTGGTCTCTAAACATTTAAAAAAGGCACTTAAGTATCGCAGCTGAGTCTAGAAATGTCCTTACACTGGCTCATCTAGAAAGTTTTCAGAGTAGTTTTGCACCTCTGGCTTTTTGGCAACAATCCAGATGCAGAAGAAGCAGTGTTTATCTGTGATACTAAGTTTTATTTCTGTGGATTTCAGTTGTTCTGGGATGACCAGAAAATAGGAAGGCCGAGCAGACAGTCTGAAGTGGTTTGACTTTCCCCCCACTATACGTTTAGATCAGGAGTGGCCAAACTTGCTTAAAGTAAGAGCCACATAGAATAAACATCAGGTGTTTGAGAGCTGCAAGACATGAGCCAATATGACACACGTTTTTATTGGAAAATATGCAAATTTGCTTTTTATTAACATTCAATGAGACTGCCAAAATAAAAACAAAAGGGGTAAAAATAGATACGGATAATGATATTTATTCGTCCAATGATGTTTGTAGGTGGGGGGAGCTTTGAGAATGCATTTAAAGTTAAAGTTGCTTTCTTTTCTCTGCTCCCCCCTGCCTCAAGCCTACCCAGGAAGGGGAACTGGCTGGGGAAGGGAAGACTGCTTGGGGAGGGGAGGCATGCCTCCCCTTCGCTTGCCCAGCTACCCTGCCCGGGAGCCTTTTTCAAGGACAGCTCTTATCAGAACTACGCATTGCCCAAGGTCATCCAGCCAGGTGCAAATGGAGGAGTGGGGAAATCGAACCCGGTTCTCTCAGATTAGAGTCCGCGCACTTAACCACTACACCAAACATATACTTTATTCGTGTTACGCTGTTGAAATAAGCTCTTGCTCGCTCTGGCAAGTGGTTAACAAGCACAGGGGGCCACTGAAAACTTGTAGGAGAGGAGAATCCCATCTGCATCACCGAAGGCTTGCCTCCCTTCTTGTTCTCTCTGAAGAAGAGCTGGTGGGGTCAGCCAGCTGCTGGGAGGGATTTTAGTGTGGACACGCCGGTTACAAAGATTGTACCTTTGCCACCTTTACAAGCATTCTTTACAGCACCCACTCCTATCTCCCGATTGAGATAAGCGCTCAGATTTCTGTTCCTACTCTGTGTCTGACGAAGGGAGGTTTGACTCTTGAAAGCTTATCCCCTAAAACTCTTCTTGATCTCTAAGATGCTACTGGACGGAAGTCTAGCTGTTCTACTGTGTACGGACACGAACACCCTCTGAAACTGTCTACATGTTGCCTCTGTTTAGCATACCATGAATCTTCTGTGGTTCATGTATGGGTTTTAACACTTGAAGATGTTCATTTTCCACAGTAGGTCAGCTGTTTAACATCCATTAATGACACACAACCAGGGTGTAAAACCTCACTCATCCGCGGGTGATTTGGCCCAGCCTAATCTACCTCACAGGTTGTGGTGCAGCCTGGAGGACGAGTGGGATAAGAATAGGTAACAGACGGCTCTTTCCTCTTTCTAAGATTTAGTGATGTGGTAAAATTTAATTGGATCGTGCAAAATTATTCACTGTTACCTTGAGAATGATTTATTGTTACCTTACCGTGGGAAAAGATCTGCATTTCCTTTTCACTGGTGGGGACTCGAAAGCCAGTGACTTCCGCAAAAGTTTAATTCCCTGTCTGAACTGGGCTAGTTTTTTGCCTGTACAAGTCTAAGGCGTAGGTCCAAAAAATGGAGAGGCAGAGTTTTGCTGATACCACAGCTCTTTCTCAGTTCCTGCTTCCTGCTTTACCTCTGTATGCCATTTGAAACCTGCTCCTGAAGGTTATGGGACTGTCTGGAATGGTTTGAGTTTGCAAGGCTGCAGGGGGGGGGGGGGGGGGGGGAGACAGAGCGGGCAGGCAGGGAAATAACTGAGATGATTGTCCTCCCCCCCTCGTGCTAGAAGAGTGTTTTCTACTTGCAGAAAAGACTCTTTAGATGCATTTGGAAAACAAAATGGTAGAAGAAGTGCAAGCCATGTACTTTGGTCCTTGTTGATCTAAAGGTTGCCGGACCAAATTGGCTAGCTGAATATTGGCAGAAGCAACCAGTGTGTAGACTGGCACACTTGGTGTGTATATGGTTCCGAGGAAAACGAGAGAGCATTTTGGCTAGGGCAATCCCCTAGTTAGAATGGAATGAAAAGTATGTGTTCCAGGAGATGGGCTGAGGAAGGGAGCAGAACAGATGGCAGATTGAGACTCAGGAATTGGATGTAAGGCGCTCTGAACCTGATGAAACGCCTTCCTGTGCAACACTTAATGGTACAGGATTTTATCCAGGTCTCAACCAGACAGTTGAAACCTTTAGAGATCCTGAAGGCCTCAGGATGGGGGAGTGAATTTCATAAGTTAGGTAGACGGCTAGCGAGTTGAACCCTGGGGTGGATGACTCTGGGTAGTCTTCTACAGCAAGATGTAACACTTTGAGTGGCTGCAGAGGGCTCAGGGTTTAGCTCCTGTTTCACCCTTCTGAAGTCTACCTGCTTCCATCTCTGTGAAGGCAACTGGGTACAGGGAGAAAGCAGAATGGCCTGGCCCACCCTTGTTTTGCTTCCCTTCTCCCCTCAGGGCTGTAACCCACTATAAGGTTGCAGTGGTGACTTCAGGTTCTCGTGTAATTCATGAATAATGTGATTTTGTCTTGACTATCTTTGAAATAATGCTTGATCCCCCCTCCCCTCTTTTTAGAATGGCCACAGGTGGCAGATATTTCAAGATCTATTGGGGACAGATCAGGACAACCTTGATTTGGCTAATGTTAACTTAATGTTGGAGCTACTGGTCCAGAAGAAAAAACAGCTGGAGGCCGTAAGTCCCCTCCCCTTTATCTTGGTTAAAAATATTTAACTTTCTCTTTTCTGCCCTGAGATCTTCATACAAAGCTTATTCACATAGCACTGTGGTGTCAGATACTTTGACACCTATATTTCATGGAGCCACAATATTACAGATCTGTAAATAGCTACTTGCCTAGTTACTTACGGTGAGTTCAGTGTCCTCTAGGCATGTATAGGGAAGGTTTTTGTACATGTAAAGAGCATTCTGGGACTCCTCTCATTTTGTCAATCTGTGTAATGCCAAATGGCTGATACGGGCATTTATGGATAGGCAAGCTAGTAGATGACCTGACCTGGATAGCCCAGACTAGCCTTATGTCATCTAAGCTAAACAGGGTTAGCCCTAGCTAATATTTGGATGGGAGACCACCAAGGAATACCAGGATCGTTACGTGGAGGCAGGCAATAGTAAGCTACCGCTGAATGGCTCTTCCCTTGAAAACCCTATGGGGTTGCCATAAGTCAGCTGTGACTTGACAGCAACAGCAGCATAGCCAGTACATACTTCTGGAGTCTGCAGTAATGTAAAGCTGTGCAGCCTGTGATCCAGCAAGGCCTAATCCAGCTGATTAGCTGCATATGCTGGCCCACCAAGGCCCTGGCCCTGTATAAACCTGTGTTTGCTGCTTGCCAAAGACTGCAGAAACAGCAGTGGGTGGGGTAGGAGTGGGTGGATTGTCGAGTACTTGATAGACCAGGACACATAGAAATGGCTGGGCAAGAGAATTCTATTATTCTGATGCATTCTTAAGAGGTTGGAAGTTCAAGGTTTCCTTGGTCTCCTATTTCCAACTTAGCAATAAATAGAAGCCTGATTCATCGAGCTGGGGAAGTCTGAGATAGTCTGATGTGGTGCTTGTGAACGGTGTGGTTTTTTAAAAAATTCCTCATGTTGTTGGTCAGGAAGCATAGCAAGTTGTTCCATGTCTTCTGGGTTGCGCCACCTCTGTATATAGGCTCCACTTTAACACTCCTCCCCAGGCTCTGCTTATGGCGATTGTACCATTCTCAAGAGCATAAATGGAGTCCTTAGGAAGGGAGAAAAGAGTTGGTAGAATGGGCATTGCATGGGCTCTGAGAGGGGGCTCCGTTTTGTGTCAATCAAATTTTAAAAACCAGGAGCCACTTTTGGGGATGCGTACTTCTCTCCTGAAGCAGATATTACATCCCCATCCTGCGAGGTTTACTTAACACAGAAACTGAAAATATGACTTGCTGTAGGTTTCAGGTCTCGGGTCTAAGGAGAGAGAAGTTCTAGTGTACATTCCTCTGTCTCCTGATTTGTTAGCGTTAACAGAGAACTATCTGCACTGCCTTGGTCAGGAAATGTTCAGCAGTTAGCTATGGTTTTATAATGTTGTATTGATCAAGCACTTACCTGTTAGGTGGAGTATTGACTGGCAGAGGGAGGCTTGAATATCTGCACTAACTGGCCACTGCCCTGGTAGTTTAATAAGCATGTTTTCAAAGAAAATATTATCTAACTTTTGCATCTTTACATTTCTTATTACAGGAGTCCCATGCTGCTCAGCTACAGATTTTGATGGAATTCCTGAAGGTTGCCAGGAGAAATAAAAGAGAGGTATGGTAATCTGCTTTGATTTACAACCATTGAAGCTTTTTCCCCCATTACATTATTTTTAATAATTCAGGCTGGCACATCAATTTTGTGCACTTGAGAGAGTACATGGGTGGGAATCTTGCACAATGGAATATTTGAAACACATGGATTCGAAGGAAGCAAGATCGTGTTAATTGTGAGAAATGGGATTTAAAAAAAACCCCACAACTGTATTGGGGGGTTTCTTTTGGTCAACTCCATACCTGTGGGAGGGAAGACTGTCAAGTAAAGCAAATTTGTTGGCTTTTGCATCAAATTCTTGAAATAAGTTGCAGCTGGAGCTAGAGTGGGGCGTCCAGTAATTTTTTAAAAGGCCTTCATGACATGAAATGCTTGTTGTCATCCTGAAGTATAAAGTATTGCTGAATCTGGGATGTGTGTGGCTTTTGGATGTTACGCGTTGAATTAGTATTAGGATAGATTTTATGCCTGATTTTATGAAGTAGCAGGGAAAGGACAGAGTCTTGGTTTGACTTAGTGCACCGTAGGACAAGTGAAGCTCTGCTAGAATTAATTTAGGGTATAGGAGATGGGGGAGGGTGCACAGGTAGGAATTGGTTGCAGCAGGCTTGCTGAAATCTTGAGTCGGGGGGCTGCTATGGGTGGTCAAGTGCGTGTGTGCTGGCTTTGGTAAAAAGTAGTCACTCAACCTGGGTTTAGGAGTACTTTCTACTACTGTTAAACTCATGTTGGGAACCTTGACTTTATTCAGGGTCTTGCAGTAAGTTTAGGAGCACACTTGATTTTATGAGGCTCATATGTGATGCCAAAATCAGGTAGAGGGATGTGGGTGTAATTAATGTGTGAGAAGGGAGCCATTCTGTGTATGCAGGCAACATTCAGTTCCATGGCTTGTTCCTTATGCATTGGGGGTTTGAACTGGACCGTAGTGTACAGTAAAGGGTTGTGATCAGAAAGCACAGATGTTGAGGGTTGAAATAGAGTCCACTTGCTGAATGGTACGTTTTATTGGACAGGCCTACCTTTCATGAGTAATAGAGGAGTGTTCTCAAAGGCATTTTGCACCTGTCTGATCAGACACAATGTAGCTTCTTTCTAATATCTGTACTTTTTCCCATAGGCTCCATTACAGTTCTGAAACAATAAAAGTATGATTGAGTACTTGATACCAGTTCTGTGCAGCAGTGATGCAGGCAGCTGCAGTGGGGCTCTGTGGAAAACCTCCCCCTTGCCTGCCTGAATTCAAGTACCTTTCTGCTCACATAGCACAGGTTTGGATATAACCCACTGCAGTCTGTCGAATTAATTTACTTTCTAATAACAGGACTTATAGTACTGATTGAAATACACGTCTTTGTCTTGATAAGAGTTTCCACCTGTCTGGCAAGTCTCTCACTGTACTACTGCTCAGAAGTCCAAAATGCAATTTTCCCAATAGTTAAACCAAATAATAAGGTAGGAGGATTGTAGAACAACTGAGCTTGGTAAAATTTATCCAACTCGAATAGATTAATTTTAGCCAGAAATGTCTTCACTGCTTATAATATATCGACTTGCAAGCTAATAAAGAACTAAAACATCGATATCTGTTTTTTGGCCTAGCGTAGTAGTAAAGGCAGGCATTTGCCTTAAGTGTAGAAGATCCATGCTTGGCTTCTGAAATAAGTTCCTGTCTCTAGCACTCTCCACCACCTTTGTCAGATGACAGCATTGGTGTTTGGTGTGCTGCATGTAAATGGAAATGCAATACTACTTGTTTGGTGTAGTGGTTAAGTGTGTGGACTCTAGTATGGGAGAACCGGGTTTGATTCCCCACTCCTGCACTTGCACCTGCTGATGTGACCTTGGGTCAGTCACAAGCTCTGGCACAGCTGTCCTTGAAAAAGAGCAGTGTCTGTCAGAGCTCTCTCAGCCCCACCTACCTCACAGGGTGTCTGTTGTGGGAAGGGGAAGGGAAAGGAGTTTGTAAACCGCTCTGAGACTCCCAAGTGAAGGGCGGGGTATAAATACAATCTCCTCCTACTACTACTACTTTTATGGAAAGCTGTTTTTAAAAAACAGGACCTCTAAATAAAACAGGGGAGGAAGGTGGAACAAAAAGAGCTTGGGGCTCTAGGTGGTTTCTTGGTTGAAAGGTTGCCTGTACAGTTTTTCTTGGTTGAAAGGTTGCCTGTATAGTTTAATGTGTCCAAAAAGAGAAAATTAACTGCTATCTTGAGAAGTCTTAAACTACCTTCTGAGCAAGGTTTTTCCCATAGCCATGGGGAAAAAGTGTGTGCTCTGGGAATGATAGAACATTTAAATTGCAGCTGTGATGCTGCAGCTAAAATTGGGGAGGAAAAAGAAAGACGTAGAAGCCTGGAGCACCTAGTTGCTTAAAATCTGGAGAATCAGACTACAGGGCTAAACCAGGTCTACTGTTAAGTGGAGGCAGCGGATTGTGGTGAAAGGACTTTAGGATATAAATAGAGAGGCAATAGAACAGTACTCCAGGGTCATGGGTGATATGGAGGCTATTTCAAGTTCACTGCAATGGCACCTGGGCTGAAGGAAGAAGAAGAGGAGAGTGGATTTATACCCCGCTCTTCACTACCCAAAGGTGTCTCAGAGCGGCTTACAAACTCCTTTCCCTTCCCCTCCCCACAACGGACACCCTGTGAGGTAGGTGGGGCTGAGAGAGCTCTGACAGAAACTGCTCTTTTTCAAGGACAGCTCTTATCAGAACTATGGCTTGCCCAAGGTCATCCAGCAGGTGCAAGTGGAGAAGTGGGGAATCAAACCCGGTTCTCCCAGATTAGAGTCTGCGCACTTAACGACTACACCAAACTGGCTCTGGAGATAACCACTACACCAAACTGGAGATAATGTAGAAGAACAGTTCAGCCAGAAAGGGTCTCAAGTAAGCATTACTCAGCTGTGGTCTGCAGGACAGCTGCTTGAAGTTAAGATGGCAGGTAAAGGCCTAGTTTCTTTCTCACAGGGCAGCTGCTTAGGGTCAGAAACATACCATTCTAACAGTGGTCTTCTATTCAGAGTTACTGCAGTTGAAGCCATTGATTTCATTTGCACTGTTTGGTTTCTCTTAAGCTACATATGTGTGTGAGGCACTTCAGCAACTGAGGATATTCCAAAGCTGACAACTAATTGGGAAGTTTTGCTCTATTTCCCTTACTTTGTTCAGCGATATATGTCAGGTTCAACGTCCTGGATTCATCATTTCCCAAAATCGATCTGTCCAGTTCTTGGCCCTTCATCAACATGGTGAAGATGTAAAGCAGCAGAAGATAGAGCAGTTATTAGTTGCTGTGTGGTAATCATGGAGAACTGAAAGTATGAATTCTCCTGTGCTGTCATTAGCTCCTGCTAATCGCTCTTCTTGTCAGCCTTTATTGCCTAGCAGTTTATGCATGAGAGGGGTGAGGTATAAGGAAGGAGAAATGACAAAGGCAGAAATCAATCATGCTTTCAAACTGCAAAATGGTTGATTATATTTTTGTGCTCCCTAGATGTGTTTGTAGCTTCAGCAATATGTTACTTTTCCTTTGTTGTTAAATAACTGAATTATTGTCAGGCAGCTGGATTTAGTAATTTAAATGCTCACTTAGATCCTAGGTGAAAACTGTTGTTAAAAGTATGTCATCTAATAAGGATTTTTGCTGGCTGTATGCATGCTTTCATTGGCATCAAGCCAGTTGTTTGGCAATGAGGTATTTGAATTTCACAAATTTAAAATTAAATCAAAAAAATTAATACCTCAAACCATTAAGAGTTTTGTTTGGGCTGCTTAGCTCCTTGTGTTGACTTGGGAAAACATTCAGAAACAGGTTAGGATTTGATACTACTCCTTGGAATTGAACCACTTAAGATTGTTCCCATTTATGGCAATGCCTTGTGGGGGAATAGAATGCTTTTTCAGCCATGCTTTGCTTATTTGCATGTGCTAGAAATGTCCATATTGGTTACTATTATGTCAAAATATAGCCTGTATTTTTGTGTATCCTATATTTTGGCCCATTAGATAATGTTGAGAGGATTCATGAAATTGGGTGAATCAAAATGGATCTTTTAAATTTAGCTTCGATTTTGAAACTTGAACTCACAAATACCCTGGTATATTAATTTAAACCTCTTTGATATTATGGTTTATGTATTTAAAACTCTGGTTTTGAAACAGAATCTGCATTGCCAAAGTAGTGATGGCCACAGGAATAAACAGCTTTAAAAAGGGATTAGATAGACATATTCTCAGTGAATCAATCAGCAGCTATTAGCTGTGGTCACTGAGGGGAACCTACACATTCAGAGGCACTAAACCTCTGAATCCCAGAGCCAGGAGGCAACATCAGGGGAAAGTCTCGGCCTCTATGCCCTGTTGTTGACCCTTCACATGAACTGGTTGGCCACTGTGTGAGACAGGATGCTGGGTTAGGTAGTAGACCACTGGTCTGATCCAGCAGGGCTGTTGTGTTCTTATGTTTCTTTGCATCAAAGCTAATGTGAGCCTAGAGGCCTCTACTACTCCAAGGCAGTTCTGCCATTGCCATCTGCATTGGATTAAGTTTCAATGCTGCTGCTGATTACCACACTTCTGTCACCTTTATTACTGGTTCTTTTTTAATTAGTGCTGATCATAATTTTCATATATAATTGGCACAGAACACTCAGTAGGGCTTTTTGATACCATAGAGACACACTGACATTTGTGGCAGCAGCATAGTTAGTCCTGTTTGACTTGTGTATGAAGTTGTCGGTGTTGACCGACTAGTTGCGTTGGTGGAGCATACCTGTAAGTCATCCCAATACTAGTGAGCTTTGCTGGAAATTTCAGGGAATTGCCAACATCTGTATTTTCCTATAATGTTGTTGAAGGCATTTTTATATGACACTTTTTTCTTGTGTCTCTGTCAAGGGCAGGAAACAAAACCTTTACTTTTTGGTTCTGGTTTATGGTAGTAAAGATTTGATGTCAAAAACCGGGTTTTTCCCGAATTTTTCCGGGTTTTTTTCCGGGCCTTCACATCTCTAGTCTGGAGTGGTGCCTGATAGAACATGAAAGGCTGTAGCTGGAAGTCCCTAGATGCATATAAGCTTTGGATATGTGTGTGGGGTCCTGGCAGCCTATAAATGACTCAGTGGAATGATGATAAATCTTTCCAAGCTGCCCTGTTGAGTGTTGCTTTTGGGTCTCATCTGCAGGTGCCTTGTGATTTAAAATACAGCAAGTTTCCGCATATGTTTGTTAAGCATGAAATACTGCAAGGTGTGATGTTTGTTCATAGTAACACTCCCTTAATTCTGTATACCAGCCTGGGGTTTCAGTGCTACTGAAATTTTCACAGTAGGAAAGCTATATCTCACAGAACTTGTTCTGTGATAATGCGTTTGTCTCCACTGGGTAGTTAACATCTTTAATTAGCCCTAGCTAGGCTGACTCTTTAAGCTTGAAAACAAGAGTTTCTCTGCAGGGTATAGGATTATTAAGAGCTTACAAGTTAATATATTAAAGTTTATTCTATTACAGCCAGATATTATTGCTGTTCTTGACTGTTGTATCTCAGGGTAATACGACAAAGAAGACCCCATGCAGTGAAACAGGAGGAAGAGAGGCTGGTTATTCTCAGGGCTGCAATGAGAATAAAGTGGTAGCTGTATCCTGCAGCGGCCTGAGCCCTTTGGGGAATACTCCAGGCCTTTGCCCTGAATTTACCTTTCTAAAAGGAATGTTGAAGCTTCTAGCCTTCCGATTTATGGCAATATACAGAAGATCTTTACTACCAATGTAAGCGTACAAGACATGGACCTGTTGCTCCATCCATCGTAGCAGTTAGTAATGGCAAAGGAGCTGGGATGCTGGCCAAGAGTTTGGGCAGTATTTTTAAATGCTTTAATATTACTCTTGTAAAATATGTAGCCGTATAGGACTAAATGTGAAAAAAAGCTTAAAAAGTCTAAAACCCCTCTTTAATTAGAAAGGTACTTCCTTCTACTTCGACAAAGGAAAAGGCTGTTTTTATTGAATGTACTTCCCTGTTCCTACTGTGGAACTCGTGTCACACCCCACAGTGTTTTGAGAAGCTGCTGCTTCCCCAAGCGATTACTTTTCAGGGGAGGCAAGAAAGATGATGACTGGGACTCAGGGCCAGCCCAAGGATTTTGAGTACCCTAGGCTTGAGCACCCAGCCTCCTGCACCACAAGAAGGCAGGAAGATGGTGCACTGCCCAACCTCTTTGACTCCTGGATGGTGGCAGGGAAGTTGGAAAATTATGGTTGCCCTCCTCCACTCCCTGCACTGCTGTGAGAAGCCATCACCTGCCCTTTCTGCCCCCCTCCCAGAGCATAGGGGAAGATGATGCATGTCTTCTTTATCCCCTGGTGGTAGAGCGCGGCATCTTCCTGTCTTCCTTGCCCTCCTCTGGGCAGCAGAGAGGCAGAGAGATGGTTCCTGTCCTCTCCCTGCAGTAGTGAGAAGCCACCACTGTTGTTATCTCTTCCCTTCCCTGTCAAGCAGGATAACGATGATGAAGAGGGGCCATCTGCCCTGCCCTCCTGATGGAGGGTGAGAAGTAGGAGGTAGGCTCACCTCTAGCCCCCCAGTAGGTCTTGGGTATACCTCTTGGGTCAGATTGTGATGCAGTGGAGGTGACAGGGCTGGTTGGCACCGTAGGCAATTGCCTAGGGCTGTGTAGTGGAAGGACTACCCTGTTTGTGCCCAGTCCCTACAGCCTACATTCAGCTAGATGGTAATTGTTTAAAACTCTGAGTGAACGTATGGAGAGTAGCTGTCCTTATTAGTCATGGATCTACTTACATTGTGGTGTCGCTGAATATCACTTCTGATAAAGAGCTAGAACTTCTGGCTGCCAGACAATCTTACGATCTAGCTATTGTACACATACTGCCATATGATAATTAATTTATATCACTTCTGAATCAGTTAGCACTCCTCTCCTCGGGGAAAACCTTGCACGCCCAGCCTGGCATTTCTCTAAGCTGCAAACCTGCTTTGTTTTCTATGCCAAATAAATGACTGTTGAAGTTGGAGCAATTTGTGGTGTAACAGGAAAGGGGCTGCTATCTGAACAGACTGTCTTCCTCTATATTTTAGTTGAGTTAGAAAATCCAGAGGGGGGCATGGGTTAAAAGCTGCATCTAATGTATGTATCTCTTCTAGCAGCAGTTTGCATGTAATTTATGTATCTCTTCTAGTAGCAGTTATTGAAAAGTGGAAAAAACAGCTATCTGTGTTCATTACATACAAGAATTTCCGTGAATGTTTACCCCACAAGTGCTTTGCACAATAGTGACAGAAGGTTTTGGCTCCCCCCCCCCCAATCAAGAGATTATTATGTGTGTAGTTTTCTGTGTTTTATGCCGCCTTTTCATCCACAAATCAGCAAACATAAGAAACATTAAAATATTTAAACAATAAAAATACAGTTAATTAAATTTCATTTAAAAGCATACACAACATTGGAAGGAGGGCTAATTGGGGGTATGCCAGATGAAACAACAAAAGTATTCCCCAGACACCAGATTCCCCAGATTCAGGAGACACCAATAGAGGGAAACAAATCTCCCTGGGGAGGGAGTTCCAAAGTTTTGGTGCCATGTAAGGTTCTTATTCCCCAGGTGGGGGTGGGGAATCCCCCGCTTTTGGAGGTTTCTGCCCACCGCCTCCAAACAGCAACATTGTGCAGTGATGGCCCTGACATGATAATGTCATCACATTGGGGACATTGTACAAACCAGAGCGACGCCATGCAGCGTCCCTGACATGACGACATCACTTCTGTGTGACACCATCCTGTCAGGGACATTGCTGTACAATGTCACTGTGTTGGGGCAGAGCCCTGCCCCACTCCCAGAAGGCTCCCTCCCACTTCCTGCCGGCGTGTCGTGGAGACCTGGCAACCTTAGAGCCATGACGGAGAAGGCCATTTCTTGGATTGCCACCATCTAGTTCCAGATAATGGGGGCAATCAAAGTAGGGCTTCTAAGGAAGGCAATCGTTAAGACATCTTAATCCCAAACTGTACAGGACTTTAAAAGTCAATAGCAGCACCTTTAATTGGGCTTGGAAGCAAATTTGGAAGCCAGTGTAGATGGAACAAGACTAGAGATGGTCCCTACAACCTACTCCTGTCCTCTCTCTGCCCGCAGCATTCTTTACCAAGTTTAGCTTCCGGACAGTCTTCAAGAACAGCCCCATGCATACTGCACTGCAGTAATCTAATCTAGCTGTTTACAGGGCATATGCCATAGTGACAAGATCTTTTCTGCCCAAGAAGGGCTGCAGCTGGCTCACTAGCTGAAACTGCTAAAAGGCACCTTGTCCACTGCTGCCACCTGTTTATCCAACAGGAGGCCTGGGTCCAGGGGGCACCCCCTAGGTTACAAACCTGATCCTTCATGGAGAATACAACTCCATCAAGAACAGGGGGTAACATATTTCCTGGGTCAGACCCTCACCAGTACCTCCTCTGTCAGGATTAAGGTTGGGGAAATTCTTGGAGTGTCGTGCAACACCATGACATCACTCCCAAGGACAAAATCCAGGAGCAATCAGGGCATCACATTTATGCCGGCTTCCTCGCTCCTGCTATTCATCAAGTGGTGACAGAGGTTGCCTGCCACGGTTTCAGCTAAACTATTTTACTTTCCTTGCTAAAGAGTTCATTTTACATATCTACTGGTATCTTACAGGCTGAGGTAGTAAAAGTGTCGGGGGGCTTAATGGTGCCTTGCTAATTATTTGAGGCCTAATTGTTTTTTAAATCTTGGATGGTGAATGCTAAGAGCACAGAGTATAACGTTTAATAATGTGGAGCCTATTTATTATCGAGGGTGAGGAACATAACGTTCTTGCCTGTATCATTTCATAGCTTGTGACATTTTTAATGTAGTTTGCCCATCTGTTTAATGCATATCTGCATACGTATTACTTTCTGCATAGTAACTACCTGAAATGAGTAGCTTTCTAATTTAGTGTTTCTCTCCCCCCCCAAAAAAAAAAGAAGAAAAGAAAATGACTTAATTTATGGTGGCGCTGGTCGGTGTTGCCAGTGCAAATCGCCTCAGATTCCTTTTATCCTTTTTTTCCTCCATCCACAGCAATTGGAACAGATTCAGAAGGAGCTGAGTGTTCTGGAAGAAGATATTAAGCGAGTGGAGGTGAGGTACCCAGGCATTGTAGCAACTTGCGGGCTTCTTCACTTCCGTCAAGCTGTCTGCCTCCCCGTGAGCCGCTGTGCGAGATTTATGGCACTTGCTTCAGTAATGAGGGAAATGAACAGATTAAGCTTTCTGGTTAATTTGTTCATTTGAATGTTTGTAGCTTTTTCTGCTCAATGAGGGCATTTAAAATACTTGTGTACCTTTCAAAATGGTTAGTTAATTTTTGGAATTCATTTTTTCTGGGCTGGTGTGTAACTAATTTTGCTGTGTTTGTTTTCCGTGTAAAGCTCTTTCGAAGTATTGGGAGCCACGTAATAACATTTGGTGGCTTGTTCTGAGAGGAGAAGGAGGGGGAAAAACCCTTAAAAGTTTCATAACAAATAAAGGCTTCATCCAAAGGGTGACGTTCAGGTGGAAATAATAAAATTGGTTACTTGGTGATAACTTGGCCCTTCTCAAATACTCCTGCATTGGTGTGGGAGTTCCATCAGTAAATTAAAAGCTCTCAGGACTGCAGTATAGTACCCAACGGAGTGGGATCCTTCTCTCCTGACAGTAATTAATTGGAAAAACTTATGCAGGAGTGTGAATATAGGAGAGCCTTAGGTAGGCAAATACCCTCCTCATCTAGTGGGTAACACACTTCGCTATCTTGCCTTAGTACTGCATGCTAGGTATCTGTCTCCTGCACTAAAAACCTATATAACTTCCAGGCTCCATCTGAAACCCCTAAAGAAACAGAAGATAGGTTGTTTGTGGCTAATATAAGAGCTTCCCCGATACCTTTCAATCTTTTGAGCAACATAAAAGGCTTTTTGTATCGCTAGATTTCTTTTTGTCTTTTTATTATCTAGCTATTAGACAGTGTCCCCTGTAAACATTTGCTGTGGTTGATAAGGTGGTTCAGAAATTCTGAACTGTAAGTGAAGAGGACTTGGTTATATCTCAGCAAACGTGCTGTCTTATGTGTAAGCTCCCATCTTGGAAATAATCTTACAAGTGTGTTAATGTGTTGATGCCTTGAGAAGGCAACATCTGATTTTCTACCTCGGGGCTGATTAGAGGCTCCGATGGGGAGCAGTTGGTCCCAGCCTCCTTTTGAATAAAGAAAAAAAAGAAGTGATCTGACAAACCAGCTCTTTGGCTCAGCTGTGTAAGCAACACGAAAGGACAAAATCACATGCGAGTCTCTTCTGAGAACTCCAGAAATACGTAACAG